CGTCCCTCGGCTGAGCTTCAAGATCGAATGTGCACAGTACTTGAACACAAGCAGGAATATGGCTTCGGATTGCGGCTGGACAAGTGTCAGCTTTTCCTTGAGGTAATCACCTATCCTAAATTCATCTTTGACGCCACTGGTCGCCATCCAGTTCCCGACAATATTCGTGCCATCTAATGGATGCATGCACTTAGAGATTTATCACAGCTTCGATAGTTTCTTCGCCCGAATAACTACTATAGTGCCTTCCGCTAAAACATCTGCTGTAGATCTGATTGGCCCATACCTGTGATAAGTCGTTCAGCTCCTTCTCATCAAGCGAATGCAATAAATACACGTCATCTTTTTTTGGAGAATGACTTGGCGCTTGTGAATACGGCTCCCTGATTTTCACAGCATAAAGCATGGGCGTCAGGTTGTATTCCTGCGGACTCGGACGTGGATTAATCTTTTTGCATCTTTTTCACTCCTCTGGTAAAATTTACTATTAGGAAGTGTTCTGTGGTGACAGGCCTTGGTTCATGGCTTGTGTTTGGAAGCCCTGAATGACAAGCGGCAAGACCCTGATAAATTTTGGTTCGGTGAAGTGCCTAAGACACATCCGGTAGACCCTATTGGTCCACCTTGAACGCTCTGCGTGCGTGTGCATTTGTGTTTCAGGTGGTAAGGGTTTCCATCGGCTGAATGAAGGCGAATAAGCCCCAAACAGCTCTGAACCAACCTACCCCCACGTCTATACTTAATATGTATTCACGAAGGTATCCTCCTGCTGAAGAAAACCACTCATCGATCGACCTTTCTACCCTTTCCTCTTTCACAGTGCCTGCTGTGAAAAACTGCCCGTCTCAGGAGCTGCTCCCAAACGTCAGGCAAGCGTGCGGCAGAACAGCGAATCCTCCGCCTGGTACCGACAGTTTGTTTCTTCCACTTCACAGACCAACTGGAAGTTCTACGTCTTTAGTCTCATCATTGACAGCCTCTTTGATTCCTACTGTGATAAGGTGAGCACCGCATCACGTGAAGTACTTCGTCGCTCCGTGTACAGCTGGCTCGACCAACACTGCTCCTTGCCGCAATTGCGCCACTGTAAGTATCCACTTCTTATTTTACTTTGAGAAAACAAAAACCGGGTTAAGGACCCTTAGTGGCATCTTTAAACTGCCTTGGGTTTCATTCTCTCATGCTCTGCTTCAGAAATGCTGCCACAATGTCAGGGTGTTATTTTTTATTTCTTGCAGCAGTCTTGTTTGTGCACGAGTTAATTATAACCGTTCAGTCAGGTTTGTGGCTTGTCACTTAACTCCTGAAGGGGACACATTTGGTCGGACAGTTTGAACCAGATTGCTTAGTCTGTCGGTTTCCATTCAGTGCTTTAAAGCAAGCCTGGAAAGCAGGATTTATTTGAATCAAAAATTTGCGCGACGGCTCACTATTGCATCCTACCGCTGCATAACATAAATAACAAATGAGGGAATACAAAGAAATTGAACTCACACAGAGAAAATCAATGCAGAACAGCAAGGTCGTGGTTGAGTGACGTTCAAGCTAATTACTAAAATTAGTAACTTTAAATACAATATGGGAATGGTAAGTCTGCGTGGGGTAGGGGATTTTAAGGCAGAAAGGAATGGGAAATGGGTAGAGCATGGAACTAGAGGTTACTACGCAGAATTTAGTTTGACCGCGTGCTCCAACTATTAACGCAGGTCTGGTTTCACCCGCTGTATAGAGATCGCTCGTGAGTAGCGTGATGTGTGAGTTGTTTTTACCTCAACAAGCACCGAAGAGCATTGGTGATAGACGCGAATATGCGAGTTCCAGGAATCAGTTCAGATGAAGAAGATGCGATCACTGGAACGAGGATTTTATTTGCCTGACGTCTCGGATTCTGTCGATAATCCTTCACCATAGGTAACCGTAGAATGGTGTGAAATATACGCCGATTGGTGTGATCCATGCAAAAATTGCGCGGCATTTACAGTTCTTGGCGGCTATCCTTATGCGTACTATAAATAACAGCTCCTGTAATCACAGCTAGGGGGTCGTAATTGGTGCGGTGATGGCTTGGCAGTTCACGTTCGAGGCATTAGTTGCCGCGATTTCGTTGTCCGTGTGGGAGCGGGCCTGATAATTGCACGACAATTATGTTCGCTGTTGTAGAAGTTGCTGCGGCCCCGGTCCGCAGTTGCTTCTTCTTCTGACGCGGGAGCTTGTCTTGCGGTCAAAAGAATGACCAGTATCAAACATGGGGATTCCGTAACGGAAGAACGCATGATTTTGGTTTCTGCCTTAGAAGCCACCTGGGCAGGTGCGACAGGATGCAGCTGATGGGCCTTCGCGCAATTGGTTGATTCTAATACATCCTGCTTTACACGCTTGCTTTAAATTCATACCGGCGAAAAAAATACTCCATTCATTGTCTACTCTGATCCACCCAGTCGCATTATCAGTGTGAATACATTGCCAAAACTTTGGAGAATGCCCACATATAGGAATGATTGCTTGAATGAAGATGCAGTACTATCAGGGATGAAAATTACTGTCAAAGTTATTCATACACGGTAGCGTACTGGTGGTTAGGTTTGCTTGTATGAAACACGTTCCCCCCCACAACATCATACAATATAGGCGTCTTGCACTAAATTGTCGAAAGAGTAGATATTCCCGTTTTCTAACACTAACCCGAACCTTAACTGTTAACTTACTGTTAACCCTAGCCTTTACCTCTCTTGACCCTTTAATTTTTGTTCAAAGCCACTTGTATTACCGGTGGTTCTTGTCCTTATGTCCCTACTGTACAGACTGATGGTTGAGCTTATTCCGACCCATTTGTGTAAATGAGATGTGGGAGTAAAAAACAATGTCCTTAGGGAGTACTTTTCCCTGGCCGTCTGATACTCATAAAACTACAGTTATTGTTCCTCAGGATGGTGCAGAAAATTTTCGTTTCGTGTACAAAAAAGTTTATTAAAATTTGTCAAACCCTCCTAATAATTAACTAGGCCTAGTAATCATTCTGGTGGATTCTAGATGATTGCCTAGGAAGTCCTACCTGGGCATTCAGCTTACTGTATCCGCAATGGTGGATTACATACGAGCAGTAGGTTGGGCGCGTAAATCGATCCACGTGCGATTAAATTCACGACTCACGGTGGAGTATTGGCTACGCAAAGGCCTTCCCTGCTGTGTGAGTTCAATTCCCACCGAGGCCGCGAGTTTTCTCACATTTGGGTCAACTGAGTTATTAAAATCTGCCAAACCTTCCTAATAATATATTTTCCTCAAATCTTCTAGATTAGGCGGCCTTCCTCGTGGTGAATGAACGGAAAATTCTTTTTTTTTAAACCTCGAGAACTGGTCTTACTACACCGACCCAGTTACAAATGAAGGCCTTTTAGTGAAATGCAGCACTAAATGTTACTGAGAGTGCTTTTTAAGGTCAAGCCGAAATGCCAAGGACGCGAACATTCTTTTCTCGTAACCAGACTGTCTTTCTCCAAGAGCATAATGTGCGTCCGTGCAAACAATTGAATAAGGAGAGCAACACAAACTTGGCAACGTGTATAAAGTCGTTTAGGTAATTCATAGATCAAATAATAACCAAGAATTACTGTTTCAAGGAAAGGCGTCCTTTGGGAAAATGAGTAAATTTATTAAGAAATTTTCGACACTGGATCCCCAGGTCGTCGTCAACCATTACGACTGATAATTATGACGCAAATTGCAACTACCAATTAGCGCCCACACTAGATGACTATCAACACTGTATCAACACTTTGAAATTTTAACTGTTCTTTGCACATTTTTCTCAAAGCTGACGACGACCTGGAGATCCAGTGTCGAAAATTTCTAAATAAATTCACTCATTTTCCCAAAGGACGCCTTTCCTTGAAATTACATTTCTTGGAATGCCTGCCTTTCAGTTTAAACAAGAATTACTGTGATATGCATTATGGCAGTCAGACAACTAGTTGATGTTTAGGGAACTGTTTCAAAATAATATTGCGGGAAGTTTTATGTACTTTTTCGTTTTTGCGTTCGCCTAAATGCTATTAAACCGATGGAAAAGGCGTTTTTTAGATTTTACCAGGGGGGATGTCGCTTGAGCAAATGATTTCGTGAAATCACCTGCCGTAAAGCTGCCTATGCATTTACTTCCCTGATCGAAACCAACCCCTTTTGTCTCTCGGACAAAATGCCCTTTCTTCTTTCCCTTATCAATTAGTCTTTATGTTCGCTTTATTGTTGGCCAGAAGTGTGCCAACGAGCGGACTGTCGTGTCTGAAAGCCTTAGAAACGTCGTTAGTCTGCAATAAATTAGA